GCGCAGGACGAAGTGACGGAAATGAGAGAGAGGAGAGACGAGAGAGAGAGAGAGAGAGATGAGATGAGAGAGAGAGAAAGCGAGAGAGAGAGAGAGAGAGAGAGAGAGAGACGAAGAGGAGAGAGAGAGAGAGAGAGAGAGAGACGACGAGGAGAGCAGAGGAGGCAGAGAGGAGAGAGAGAGAGAGAGAGAGAGGAGAGAGAGGAGGGGAGGAGGAGAGAGAGAGAGAGGAGAGAGAGGAGAAGAGAGAGAAGAGAGAGAGGAAGAGGAGAGAGAAGGAGAGGAGGAGAGAGGAGAGAGAGAGAGAGAGAGAGAGAGAGAGAGAGAGAGAGAGAGAGAGAGAGAGAGAGAGAGAAGAGATGAGGATGAGAGAGAGGAGAGAGAGAGAGAGAGAGAGAGAGAGAGAGAGAGAGAGAGAGAGAGAGAGAGAGAGAGAGAGAGAGAGAGAGAGAATGACTCGGGATCTGTCTTCTTCTACATATAAGGTGTTTAAGAAGCACGCGTCGACAATGGAATTATCGGCTTTGCCTCGACGAAAAGCTCACACCGCACACACTCGATGATCCTTGGACTCGAGGTCGCGGCCTTTTTGCACTCCTCGGTGAACGAGTCGCGCATTTCCGCGCGGGGAAAAGTCCAAACTCGACGCGCACGAGTGCCGAATTGTTGAGCGCGCACGGCGAGTGCGAGATTAGGGATTAAAGTACGTCGCAATATCGTCGAATTATTATCGTGTCGCTGCTCCACCGCGCCGTCCCGTTATCGCTATGTTCGCGTTCACGTCATTATCGTCGTCATATTCTCGTCTTATCGACGTACTGTCACATGCCGTTTCGCATCATCGTCGTATTATTCTACGTCGTATTATCGTATTATCATCATCCAATTATTACCGTATCCGCTCGCGGGGATTCTCTCTCTTTCTCTCTCTCTCTCTCTCTCTCTCTCTCTCTCTCTTCTCTCTCTCTCTCTCTCTCTCTCTCTCTTTCTCCCGAGGTCGGCCATTGTAGTCGGATATTATCCGCCTCGTGGTATATACAGAACGAGCTTTTTTTCGAGAGTCGACGAAACGCGCGAGGAAGGGGCAGGGTGAGAGGAGAGAAAAAGAGAGAGAGAGAGAGAGAGAGCGCGGCAGGATGTACCGTTCGCGTTCGATCGCAATCGGCCTGCCGCGAGTCGCTGCGCATAGAGCGGACCGGCCTTTAACGTCGACGTTATAACCGACGATTTGGAGGCTTCGGGGGCGGGGGGGAGGGGGAGGGATACCGGGAGATACGTGATCGTCGCGGCGTTCTCCCGGTCGACGATCTCGCGTTCTTCGCGCCGCACAGCATCGGTTAACGAGAAAATAAATTGTAACGCGTACAACGAAGAGAGAGAGAGAGAGAGAGAGAGAGAGAGAGAGAGAGAGAGAGAGAATGTCGTTCTCGGAGACACAACGTGGCAAAAGGGGCGGAGAGGGGGGCAAACTTCTCTCGCGCGTCTTACCTCATTCCAACTTCCGCTTCTGCCGGAGGAAGACCTTGAGGCTCGCCGGACTTCTTGCGACTCGCCTTGCGACTTGAAACGCGACTCGCAGCGCGAGTTCCGCTCGCGGATCTCCGGCGAGTCATTGCAGATTTTTTCCTTCTTTCGTCCCTCTCTCTCTTTCCTCGTGTTCGTTACGCGAAAAACCGCTTTGGGACTTTACGCTCGTTTGCGAGAATTTGTATCAAGCTTCGTCGAGGAATCCGCGGGATGATCGGCCATTAGTGAGTGTGTCGAGAGATCTACTGTCGCGCCGCTTTGATGTGCTGTCTCGAGGGGATGTGCTTGTCTCGAAGGATCTCATTTCAATGTGATCCTCCATTGATTGATCTCCCGCTGAGGATTGAAAAATCGCGGGGAAGAAACGACGGGGGGAAAAATTATTAGCCGGTTTACCGGGAATCACAGATCGTTCTCGGCCCGATACTCGGTTTCTTGCGGTTATTTCCCACCGAGGTGTCGGAAAGAGGGAGAGGGGAGGGGAAGGGATAAAGAAAGACAGTTGGCGCATCGTAGCGGACGAAAATTTTTTCCGCGATAGATTACAGGATGTACCGTTCTCGTTTAGTTCCGCTCGTCGAGTCGTCCTCGGCTGCACTCGCCTCCTCCCCCCCCTCCCCGTTCGTGATATTCCGTCTCGTTTATCCTTACGTTGAATGACCGATATCGCGCGGTCTTCTGGCCGCAGGGGCAGCGAGAGAGACTCTCCTCGTTCTGCGTTCGCTTTACACCGAATTGTCGCTTCTCTCGTCAATGCAGACTGCAACTTCGCGTCGGACGCGTCTTTATCTCGTCTCGCCAGAAATAAATCGGGGGGTCAGAGTTGCACGAATTTTTCGGACGGATTTTTCATGATCTTTCTTCTTCACGATCTCTCTTTGCTGTCGTTTTTATCGTTGACGTTCGTTTGATCTCGCTTAATGAATCCTTCTAACGCTCGATGAGGAGATGCTCGTGAGAGCTCGTGAGTGGAGCAGCAGGGGGGAAGGGGAGCGGAGAAGTAAACGCGTAGGCGATGTTTGAAACATATCTCACTTGTACAGTTCGGCGGTGGAGGGTTAATAAAACTCGCCGGGCGAGTTAACGGGGTTTAAATCACGTGGGCGGCACGCGCGGCGTTCCGCGTCGGAAAACGAACTTCGGTCGGTTGTTCGTTCGTTCGTTCGTTCGTTCGTTCGTTCGTTCGAGAGGAAAGATAGAAGAAGTCGAGGTCCTAAATTTGGATATATATCGGGCTGTACGATCGGCCACGTTGGTGTTTTCTAAATCCTCCATCACGTCGTGGCGTCTCCCACGTGGAGTGTTCGAGGAAGTTTCACGTCGCCACGTGAAGCCTATCGAAAAGGAAGAGGAAAGAACTTTGATGGATCTGAACCGACGCCATTTGGCGACTTAGCGTCAGATTTTGCACCATACAATTTCTCCTGGAACGAATTTCCTGGATACTTCTCTCTTTGGCCCCCTTTATTTTTAATAGAACAACTCGGAGCAGGCCGGTCTCTCGACCGGCGGATGACGCCGGTAATATCTTTTCTCGCGCCATATACGGATCACCTAAAGTCCGATAACGCCGCAGCAGAAAATAGCGGCTGTGTTTCGCGTTTGCCGCACACACATCTTAGATTACTTGTAAAGTGATCTGTGCGCTTCGCGTGTAGATTGTTGTTTACGCCCAAGTTTACGCTTGTTCCCATCTGTGCGCTGTCGATGCCTCGTGAAATTGCGGTTGCGAGCTCTCTCTCTCTCTCTCTCTCTCTCTCTTTCTTTCTTTCTTTCTCTTTCTCCCGTCTCTCCTCCACGAAACGAGTAGGAGACGGAGAGGAAGGAGAGAAAAGAAATGGAAGCGCGCGAGGAATCGAGACGAGACGCGTAACGTTACGCGGTCAACAGGCCGAAGACGAATTAAAGCGCACGAGGGATAATTAAGGCGAATTCAGGTTTAATAAAGGAAAATGCTTGTAATTAGCCGCCTTCCTCCCCTACCCCCTCATCTCTTTCTCTTTCTCCTCTTCGTGCTCATGTCGTGAGCGGCGTGTCATGTCGGCCTCTCGTGGTCTCGTGAAGAAAAAAGAGCCCACGGCGCCTGCGGTGCTCCCCGGTTTATTTATTTCTCTCCCTTCGCGTGCGTTACTTTCTAATGGTCTCTAACGCCCGTCCGAGCTCGTCGGGCCTCGGAATGACCTTTTCGACCGAGCGGTCTTTTTTTATTCCCGGACGAAAAGTCCGCGTGGTTTCAGAACGCGCGCCGCGCCTCCGGCATTCGTATAAATAATTACCGCCACACTCGAGGATGCGCTCCTCGCGCATTCCTTCCAATGCTGCCATTCTCGCGAGTGGATCCCGCGCAAGTGGGTATTTTTACAACGAGCTAATGCCCTGCCGATCGCCTCGTATTTGTTTGTAATTTTCGCGGAAAGCACGCGCGCAAGCGACGACCAGGCCGCCGCGGATGTTGAGGGGGAGCGGCGACAACGAATTTGAAAGGGGGAAAAAAAAAACGAAAAAATAGCGGAACAACAAAATGGAGCAATAATATTATGAAGAAAAATATCTCGACGGGGTGGGGGGCAGGCGGCATTATTTTTACTCGCGCTCTCGCTTCATCCTGCGCTCGCGTGCACGCGCGACCCGCATTCTGCGCGAGCACGCGCGTAGTTCCCGGCGGGTTGATTGCAGCGGTGATTAATCCACGCTCCATTAGCGAAGAGCACCCACTACTGCCGCGCTCCCCCCCCGTCTTCGCCTTGCAGTGCCTCGTCGTGCAGGGGTCACGTTGCTCGATCGTGAACAACCGTTATCATTTTGGGCGTGGTGCCGCTTTTGGCGTGTCCGCGCCGCGTCTGATTTGTTCCTTACCGATCCCGATCTCCGCTCGATCTCGTTCGATCGATCGACGGCTCGATTGACTATTCGCCGGGAGTGCGGAATAAATTTCATCGGCCGGTGGACACGATAATATATCCACTTGGAACCTACGCGAGTACACGCATACACACAAACACACATACACACGCATGTGTGTGTAACGGCCGAGCTGTAGCGAAACTGCGAACGAATTCCGATCCGAGACTACTCGTTGCGTGGGCTTTGTGCGTGCGTGCGTGCGCACAAACAGGTGGGAGTCGATCTCAACCTGTTGCTCGCTCGTCAATCGAGAGATTCGCCGATTCGAGGAGGACTCGCGTCGGAATGTCGTCTCGACGCCGGTGCTCGTTGATTTTTGCGTGTCTCTGCGTCGACGCGGCTCGAAATTCTTTTCACTCGTCCTGCTCCTCGCGCTCTTTTCCTCTCATGCGCCGACGGGATCGTCGGGATTAGCTATTCCCGACGATCGAGTATCGCTTGATCCGACGAATAATTAAAAGTTTACAATTTAATATTGATGTGAGGTATGAAAGGTTCTTTGAGAGCTAATGCACGGATTCCGTAATGGCGTTAATTTCGAGCCGAATTAATTTTTGTTTGGGCTCTTGAAAGAAATCCTTTGTACCTTTCGTTTGACTGAACGCAGCAGCAGTGCAACATTAACGAACTTTAATCCCGAACGCGAGGTGATTGCAGCAGCAAATGGTTTCTCCAGCTTCCTGTATTTATTCATAGCGTTTTTTACGCGCATGTATTGTGTGTGTGTGTGTGTGTGTGTGTGTGTGTGTGTTCGTTGCGAGCGCGTTCAATTAATCGTCTCGATTGAGCAACCGGATCTTTTTCTCTTGCTCTCTCTTGCTCTCCCTCTCGCTTTTCCTCGCGTATCCGTTACTTTTCATTCGCGAAATATTCCAGCTATGCCAACGATGCGGCGCGCGCTATCCGGTCGTTTCCCACCGTTCCGATTGCGAAGGCGCGAACGCAATGATTACGCGCGCGAGCTAACGCACGTCACGCGTGATTCCTCACTCATTAAACGCCGACGACGGCAAGGGCGAACGACATCGTTCCCCACGACGGCTTTTCTCTCCGCGACCGACGCGAATCAGAAACGCGTAAATCGACCCTAATTTATCGCGAACGCGTTGCGATACGTGTTCTGTCAAAAGTTCGCGGCGCAACCGCCACGCTAATATTAGCGAGGAACGTGGAACGATTCAGCAAAGGCTCCGTCGGCGCTGATATCTCTATCTGAATCGGACAAACAGATAAGACGCGACTACGCGAGGTCGTGATTTGATATTTCGTGCG